ATACAATATATATATATATATATACATATATATATAAAATCTATATTAATAATTTTAAAACATTTTAAATAACGTATATAGAAAAAAATGTCTTATAATATTTTTACAAATAACTGTATCTTAATTATGTTAAACAATTTATAACTCTGTTATTCTTATAAATATTTTTATAGTTGTCAGAGTCGCTTACAATTGTTATGAGAAAAATAGTCATTGATCCTTGTTTAAAAAAATATATTGTATATATAATCTTTCAAACTATCTTTATTAAACTGTCTTTATTAAAATAAATGCCAAAAATACTAATTTCTGTGATTTATTTAATTGTTAACTTATTAGCAAAATAATTTACATGGAGGTACTTTAAAAAGAAATTATAGTTTACAGTTTCTAAAATATTTACTTTTAGTCGCAAATGGAAATAATAAACATACCCTGGATAATTTTCGTGGACGATAGTCTTTACGACGTCAATTTCTTGCACAGTAGGCTCGCGATCAAGAAGAGAATGCTTGCCAGCGAAGACTTTAAGCTTGCCAAATTTCATGACGCAGTGTCCCGCAGTCAAGATGAATCTCTCGTTAATAATTGAACCACCACAGGCATGGTTAAAACGAATGAAGGGTGGAAAACCCCAATGAACAGAAACCTGATAAGGGAATTCACCCGGTATGGCATCCTCACCATCGGTGATCCTAGGTTTTAGGCCGAAAGGGACGGCCAAACACGCTATAAAAATGTTTACAATCTTTAATGTATAATTCTTATGGAATCATAATGATATTTGTGAAACCTAAACATTTAATTTTAATTTTAATTTTAATTTTATTATAATATATTTAGCGTTATTCTTATTTTTTAAATAATATCGTTTCAGAAATAATCTTTTATTTGAAAATATACTATCCTAGATATTTTTCATTTTATATATTACTAGGATAAATTTTTTATTAAATGTCTTTTTATTTATTAAATATTTCTCGGAAATAGCTAACATATGTTTAATAATCCTAGAAGAAAATTTTCTGCAATCTGCATATTAATTGTTATTACACGTAAAATTACATACATTTGCTTTTTATTTAAAAAATTATGAGAAAAAATTTTGTAAGAATATATATACAAAGTGTAAAAATTTAATGTACTTACCCTGGAATACCAGAACAGTGGCTAAAAGACACCGAATCAACATTGTCGGTATGTTAGCTCAATAGAACTTAAGCACGGAACAAGATCTTACGGTTTATATACCACGAAATAACGAGCAATCTCGCGATAACGTATGCGTGTATTTTGAATTAACCTTGATAAGGCAACTTCTTCTTGGACGCATAGATAAGCATGCATTGATTGTTTTCTTTATCATTAATTTGTCCCTTAAAGAAGAAGCATCTTCTTAATAATTAGTGTTCTTGAGTTTATCTTAATTTCTAATAAAACAAATTAACGTTCAGTTAAATAATTTTATCATATAACTATTTTATACTAGAAATTCATCTCATAGCACAAGAGCAGCATTATAGAAACGCTTTTATCGATTGCATTAAGTATTTTATAATATATTCAAATTAAAATAAAACAAAGATTAAATTAAATAGCCCGATACGTACTTTTAATAAATAAAGTACAATGATATTTAGTGTATTAATATTTGTACAAAAGAATTCAATACTAATATATAATAAAATAAATTATAAATACATTCATTACACATCATACATCATACATTATATTGTACATATATTCTCTTCATTAAACTATAAATATTATTCTTAATCTAATAGTTGTTTAATAAATTTTAATATAATTCTGTATACACGGAAATATAATTCGCTTAATTTACAATTAAAGAAAAATGTACAAAAATAAACACATTCAAGACAGCTACAAATCTTACAATTTAATCAAAATTTCTTAAATTTTTTTTTTAATTTAATTGAACTATATAATCAATTTTTGTAGAAATCAATTTACAAATGTGACTTCGCCTAGGAAACTCAAAGCCTATTACAGCATCTCATGTATTTGTTTGTAACTTAAAAATTGATATATCAGACTGAGTTTTCAATCAAATATAAATCTATCTCTCATCGTCATCTTTTGTAGCTCGTTAAACTTATTTTGATAACAATACCATATGAATGCCGGTTTTCTCTGGTTTTTCTCGATACAAATGCCCAATGTACCCTGTCCATATCTATTGCGTAGAAATATCAATAAGATTTCACAACTTGCGTGATTCATAAAGGGCATTGATCCAGTTTCCATTATCTGGATAAGACAGGAGAACGTTCAAATGCTAAATGCGCATCAGGAGCGTAAAACGTGAATCTCACGTGTTGCAGGTAACTAAGCGTGCGATCGCCCGGATTCCTGCCCAAATTTCGCGAGCAGTCGGAACTATCTGAGTAGCTGGTAATAGGAATCCGTATGTTCCACGGTCGCGCAATTCCACCGTGTATGCATACTTTATCGAGGCGACGCCTTTCGCCCAGTCATCAGACGCTCCTGCAAACAGAAAAAAAACTCATTCGATGTGACGTGACATATTGCGAAGTGCTACAATCTTATCTTAATATCTGATTTTCGTAATGTTGGCCATAAACCAACGCAAATTAAATCCTTTACGCAAACGAATCTAAAGGGTATATTGAAATTAAAATAAGTAATATGCTGAAGTACGTACCGGAAGTCGGATACATTAGTTCTGCTGCTGGTCCAAGTTGATAGTTAGTGCCGTGAACTTTCGCGATCGCGTTAATCGCCTTTCTCGCTACGTTCACCAAATCGGAGTAATCCGTCGGCTTCGAACGTGTATGACCCCACGGTACCAGCCACATTTGAGAATAAGAATGCAAAGTCAAATACATTCTGAAAATGAAAATTTTATTATCAGTAATATTATAAAATGTTTAAATTAAAATTTCAATTGAAAACTTAAAGTAAAATATATTTTAAATAGTAAAATTAAATTAGTACTGATTTGACAATTAGCGTACCGAATATGTTGCTTGTTCGCCATAATATAATCTGCCATGGCCTTCGTTTCGGGTTCAGAAAAGGCGAAAGGCCCGGAATACGTTTCGTGACAAGGATCCAAGCTCGCACCACCATCTTTTTCTTCGCCCCAGTGGTATGCAAAATTTCGATTCGGATCGACTCCTTCGCATGTAGTCCAGAACCATCTCGCATAGTGCGTCACGAACTGCAATAAATTGGAAGGTGTGTACCTAGAAAAGAAGATCCCGCTCTGTTTTAGTTAAGCAACGGGCGAGACGCTGAAAATTACTTCGTTACATAAACATCGATTATATAAAAGGCATTATAAAAAAATGTTTTTCAATTCAGAGACAACTTTCTCCTTATCTCAAAATCTAAAATCTTATCTCGTTCGGCAATCTAATCTTTAACATTTCTCTTAACGTATGTCGCTCACGACAGATGTATATCTAAATAGAAATTATATAAGCATTATAATTATTATAAGCAAATATTATTTAATTGATTATCTAAGATCTGTATATACAATTGCGGCGGTTGTAAAAAAAACAACAATTTTTCTCCTCTCCTCACCTACTATCGTTTTGACTTTCCACGTGATTGCTTCTGGTTTTCCGCCAAAAGCGATCGCCGACATGGCTGTACTCATAACCGTCGGGATTAACAACGGGCAGAATCATCCAGTCTGAATTATCCAACAATTTTGAGTAGCTCGAGTTCTTCTCTACCAACTGATTCAGTATGTAGGTCGCCACTGCGGTACCGATCCATTCTCGTCCGTGCATGCCTGCGAAGATGATGACGGTTTACCGAAAAGATGATCTAACGGGACGAGATGTGTGTAAAACGTGGGAAGCATACGGCTCTAACGTCGGTAAAAATCGGCTGGCCATAATTTTGGCAACAGGTTGTCCATAATAAAAGTTTTTTATGTTAATAATAATAATAAAAAAAAATCAAACAAAAGATGGAAAAGTTTTTAAAATTATTTCATTAATACATGTAATTTATTATTTATTCGCAACTATTTTAATTACAACTATTTTCAATTTTTCTTTTTGATATCAGAAGAATGACTGTTCTCTCTCTCTGTAAAAGGAACTCACCGGCATCAATCCAAATAGCAGGTTTTCTTTCGCCTTCTTTGTTTAATCCTGTCGAAACCTTTGCCATTTTAATCGGTTGGCCCTCGTAGCTGTGTCCAAGAGTTATTAATTCTACCATTTTGGGATATCTAAAGGCTAGATATTCTAAGTAACGTATTATATCTGCCAAAAAAGGAAGTCAATTTATTATATTGCTGAATTAAGTCTACTAATTCATTCATATACATATATCAAACAAAAATTAATTTATCTGACAAAATTATTTATATACATTAAATTAATATTAAATTTTACGATATATTAATTATGTATTACATTATAATGTATTAAATATTAAATTACATTTTAATAACTATTAAGCATATATAAGTTAAATTATTTGAGCACAACGTAAAAAATGCCTTGCAACACGATTTTACCTCCGTATCGGTGATAACGTTTCCATGTCATTGAATGGCCTTGAGTGGTGACCAGATCTTCGCGCTGTTCTTTGGACATCTTCGGATTTTGATAAGAGATCGTCTTCTGTTAATAATGAGAGAAAGAAAGTACTTTACTGACTACATTCAATTCAAAGTCGCATTTTAATTAATCATGCAGACAACCAGGAAAATTTCTCCTTTCTATTTGTAATTTACTATGACCATCAGTCAATGGAACGCATAAATAACTATTAATATATGCAGTAACAAAAACCTTTGATCCAGCATTTTAATATTACAAATGATTTATTCTCTACTCTTATGTTACTTTTGTATCTTTACACTATAGAAAGAAATCATTGAAAAGATAATTATAAGTAAAGTGTGTCAGCATTAGATATGAACATCAGCTGTCATTGGAATTTCCTTCCGATATTATTGCAGATAATGAGATACCAGTTATTTACAAATTGTTAAAATATAACAATTAAGTTGTCAGTTAAGTGTTTTCAATTACTATATTATTGAAGTTTTCTGAACATAATATTCTTACCAACACAAAAATAGATTTTTTGAATTCCATGTATTTTTTACGAAAACTCATCATCAGTATCTTGAATAATATTAATATATGTCGAAGATATATAAAATATTTACTTATATTTTTACCTGAATATCCGATATTAATACTTTGAAGTCAATTTTTTTATCCCTCAAATAATCTTTAACATCATTTACGAGATCTGGCGCCACGATCATGTCGGAAGTTCTATAAGAAATATGGGTATAGAAATACATGTTAAATAATTAATTGTTACAATAAAAATGCAAACACGAACCTGTTGGGATTTGGAAAGAACCAAAATTTAATGTCTTCAGGCTCAGCTTCTCTCAATTCGCGCAGATCCGTAACTTGATTTTCCGTGTTAGGAAATGCCCTAATTAAATGATAATTTCTATAATTTATTCTTCTGGTGCGTGATCGTGAATCCTTCTTCTCGGTACCAACGATACTGCTCATGACTGTGCTGAGTCCGGTCGCTACGACGGACAGCATGGATTCAACGAGGCCAAATAGAGAAAAACCTCTGTAATCATCATCATCCCAGTATTCTCTGGGTGTGTTCTGGGTGTGAAGACGATTACTTGCTTCAGTGAATACGAGCCTTTCTTCTTCTCCATCTTTGGAATTTAAACACGATTGCACTTTTTGATCGTTTTGAGAATTCTGCAAACTATATGTCGACTATTATTAATTGTTATGACGTAAAATTATGACGTAAAATATTCTTTCTTTAATATTTCTTATATTAATTATGTTAAAATATTTTGCGACATGTTTTTAATTACAAAAAAAAACAATATTACTTAGTAAATTTTTGTACATATAGTTTAAAAACAGTTCATATTTTTAGAATTTAAAAATAATTATTTTATTTATTATAAATTTTATCAGAAGAATTCGAAATGTTATAAAGATATTCCGATTGTATGGGGATTTTTTTAAATGTCAATATCAGCGTCATGACGTTCATGCCACGTGCTTTTGAAATGCTAAGAATGCCATTCTCGTGCTAGCGTAAAGTACATTTTATTTTCCTCATTAACTACTTCAGAAAACAAGCAAAACAATACAACATTCTTTCATGATTAACGTTACTTATGATCTACTTTCTCTTGGAAAAATTTTCTTAGGAAAAAAACTAGAACAGGTAGCACATACATAACGAAAGAAAAGGTGCATCTTAATTAACATAATTGAACGTATTTACTTAGCAAAAGCATATATGTTAGCAGTTGCAATGGCTAAATTAAATGTGAAAAGTGACAATAATTACATTTTTTTATACAAGAATTAAATTTTAATTTGCAATATTTATTGCATTTTTTTGCAGAAACATTAATATAAATATAAATTCTTTTTTCCCCTTTCTCTGTTCAAAAGGTTTAGGCGTTTTTAAGAGAAATAGATGAATAAATAGATACAAAGAGAAAGAACTTTTAAATAAAAAATCATCAAAGACTTCTTTTTAATATCTAAAATTTATATCATATATATTTCCAAAAGATATATTAAAATCACTTGTTTTATTTTATTCTCTGCTTAGACACAAAATATTAATTTTCTATTAATTTTTTAGACATAAAATTTTAATCATTTTTAAATATCTTTTTTAAAGATATTAAAAGGTAATTTAATTCACAACTTTATCAACTTATTTAAGAAGCTTCTGATTATATCATCGCGATGACACCAACCCACTTTCCTCATCCAGTGCTTTTTCCTTCTTGAATATCTTGTCCTCCGAGTAATCATATGGACGTGTCACAGTGTAATTATCACGATACGGACTGCTGTTTGTCGGATGCGACATGAGGATCCCCGAAACCCCGAGAATCACGCACAAGATCGACTCAACGTCGGCTGCACTCATGGTGTGTGTTTCGATCGCGTCAGAATGCTCGATCGTCTCGAAGGTTCCTCGTTGACTGGCAAACCCGTAGCCGGAACCGCTGGTTCATACAGGAACGTGAAACACGACGGTTCACGGTTTCACTGTTCTGCCCCACGGGCCTGGATTACGGGATTTCATTTCTGCGCTAGATGACGTTCGTTCTTTAGTCATACAGCGGATCAGAGGCTTCGGGGTTAATGGATATGAGATATTCAAAGAGTTAGAAAGGTCGGATACATTTATCGATGTCAACTTACGGTGATTTGAATCGACTTGGATTGACTAATCGTTCAACATAATGTAGATTTCTGATAATGTTCGTGTTTGCGACAGCAGTAAAATCTGAAAAGTAACTTATTTTATGCTCAACTGTATCGTTATCTTGGCGATAGTTATTAGTTTTTTTGAGAAGAAAAGAATTCAAATTTTTATAGACATTTAACAATACAACAGTGATTCGTATATGTACATCACAAATGTATAATGTACATTACAAACGTTTAATGTACATTTTTAGATTAATATGTATTCAAAATTAAATGTATATTTTTCATATTTTCTAAGAACCTTATTATTACTTTATTATAAATTTAGATCATTTAATTTCATTTTTCTAATTAATTTCCTGCTTAATGCAGAGAAGAAAAAATAATTCAAATAACAAAATAATTGAATTGTATAAAGCGAATTTTCAAGCTAAGCAAACGTATTCCGGTGAATTTGTTTGGTATGGCGGGATGCGTAGTAGGTCAGTAAATTTGCCGTTAGCAAAACACGTTTTCACGATATCAGTGTTCAAACAACCGTAACTATATGTATTAAATCCACTTTTCTACGTAATGGGGGCTTTACGTAATTACTACAGTTAAAACTTTTTAAAAATCTAAGCACGTATAGATGGAAGTACATTATTTATTATTATTAGAAATTTAATTTCTCTTTATATGTGAAATTTTTCTGTTTCTTACACGTTGGTAATTGATGAGAAATGTAGAAATAAATCATTGTAAATCACTTTATTATAATTTACTAGATGAAGTTATTAAAAGAAAATAAGTATTTATATGTAAAGTAATAAGAGATTAATAAAACTCTCATGATTTTAGTAGTATAATAAAAATCGAGATTAAATTTTGCTAAGTGCAACGATAACTGCTTGTGAATGAACTTCATAAAAAACGAATAATACATATCTTAAGGAGTGCAAGTGGTTTAAAATATCAGGATAGATGCAAAACTCAAAACACGCTGTGAATATGATTTATTGTTGTTACAACTATACGCGCGTACCCATGCGGCACGCAACGGTACAATTATTGCGCAAACGTACACAGAATATAATAGAGCGTAAACAAGTATAATAATAATATTAATAATAATTATTATAATGACTGAATGTTAAATTAATGTTACGCTGTTAGTCGGGTTCGGACGCGTACGAAAGGAAATCTAGACGGAGAAGAAAGGGTAGACGGACGATGAAGAGAAGAAAGAACGCGAAAGAAGACACGGTCGGTTCTCTCAAGCGGGCCCTTAATCCTTTCAACGGCATCCAAATAATCGTCTCTGTCGTTTCGAGCCCATCATTCACAAGATAGAGCACATTACACTCATTTTACATCTAATCTGAGGTGACGTACCTCACGCCATTGAAGGGCCAAGCATACCCCGTTAAAGGGCTCCTAAGGTCACCGTTTAACCTACTTCTTGTCCATCGAATATACAGTACGAATTTTGACTAGCACATTGCGTAACTACGGGTCCTCCCGCTCTCGATCGTGGAGGAATTCGCAGAGAACGGAGGAGACGCCGAAAGCTTCGACCGACCTTCGTTCGGAAGACAAAAGTTAGACAAGGGACCGCGAAAATAGACGAAGAAACTTCGACGACGTCAAAAGGAAAGCCAAGCCGTTGCAAACACCGGAGCGGCCGGTCCCCTCGCGCCGTCGTATTGTCGTAATTACAATACAATCGATTCGATTCGTAATAATTGACTGCTCATCGTCGTGCCCGCCGAGACGATACTCGTCGTCGAGTGTGTGCTCATCGACGGTGCACGAGCCCGAAATGGCAAGAATTTATGGATTTACTGAAAGAATACGCGCGATACTGTCTCGTCACGTGCATACTCCTCCTCAAGTAACATTATTCATCCCAACTTTCGAGCTGATTCTAATCATAGCATTGCTTCTTCCATAAGTCGCTAAGTGTCATTCATCTAGCGACGATTTTTTCTCAAGGCCTTCTTTTAAGGCGACATTATCATCTCGTGGCCTATTTACAATTATTTATAACACCATTCTTTCATACATCGAGGGAGCATGACACGGGGATTTTATACGTGCGTGTGTATGTGTGTAGGGATTTATGTATAATATATACTCTGCAAATGACGTAACATTCTCTGTCAAACATTACTCGAGAGTCTCAAGTATAACGTGATAATATATGAATTTATGATGCTCGTGCATTATTTAACGATCTAATCGTTATCTAAATTTTATTATAGATGTTTCTCCAAAAATTGAAGTTCTTAAATAAAATATTAAAACGTAATGATAAATTCCGAGAGTGTAAGCTCTCAACGATACGCGAGCCCGATATGGCAAGAATCTATGGGTTCACTGAAAGAATACACTGTCTCGTCACGCCTTATTTTGTAATTATGCAATTTTTATAAATTTATTTACTATTAATTCTGTAATAAAACATTTTTTAAATAAAACGAAAATTATAAATTATTTTTTAAAGGTTTAAATCATGTAATTAATAATGCCTGGACCGTGGTAATAATTTAAAGCGCGAGCACAGGTTTTTGTTAACGTTCATGTGATATTTTCATGTACATAATATGTGTAATGATGTGTGTAAATGTACGCGTATATTTTACGTGCGCAATGCATAGATGCTGTCCGAAATCAAAAGCGCACTCAGTGTCGCGCGAGATACGCTCGTTTCGAATGCTCGATGCCCTTCGTAGATCGCGCGAAGAGCACGGTTGATTCTCTTCAACTATGACTACGAGCTATCGGTAAGTTCGCGTGCGGCTGATCGATCGTATCCATAAGCGGGGAAAGGTGGTGGAGATCGTGAACTTCAAAATTTCGCAAAAAAAAATTTCCCGAAAAATATTAAGATACACGTGAAGAGAGAGAAGAGAGCGAGAACACATCACTTAAATACATTTCGCCGAAGTGCGTCTTAAAATTTGAAGTACTTCAATAGTTACTAAATATATAGTAAATAGTATACGCTAAATTATAATTATATTCATTATAAATATAAGAAGGCAAAATATTTATAATTTTTTATAATAATTTTTAAAATAAAATAAAATTATTTTAATTATATGTACCAAATTTTTCCAACGCAGTCATTTGACCACCTTACCCTTCTTAGACCATCCGTTTGTATCTTTACTATTCGCTACGTTAAATCGCAACAGTAACGATAATCATAACAACAACTTTCTTATCTTGACTGCATATTGACGCGAGGATGGAATCGATTCACGTATCGCCTCTCGTTCTCCTCGTTCTCTTCCAAAGAGAGCGATCCTCGACCTCTTCCCGGCGATAATCGATAATTATATCGTCTCTACTGTTTGCAACATGAATGTCCTATTGATTCAACGCTACGAAATGCACGAAGACTTATTACGAGTAGTCGGTTAATGATAATGATTTAATTCGTGCAGCCATTTCCAGCGGATTTTTCAGAAGAATCCACGTATGTCCTCCGCGTGTCAGCGGAATTTCATCAATCGATTATATCGATTATTCGTCCCGTTATCCCCAACTTCTCAGTCGTTTTGTCCTCGATTGGACTTTGCATTTTTTTGCGCTAAGGATATGTGTTGGTATCGACCTTAAAGGCGAAACCGTTAACGAATTCGCGATGACATTTGTGCCCGTTAGTTCTTGGCGATTTTGGCGAGCGGGTAGCAATTCTTAAACGATGTTGGCCTTGGCGATGGAGCTTCCCATCATGACTTTATTCACGAAATTTACGATAGCCGTAGCGGGTTGCTCTGGTTCCAGTTCGGCGAAGACGTGACACTGATTGTCCGATTTGTGAGCGGGTTTTCTTGCCACGAAGCCGAAGCAACGACTGGAAAGAAAAATAATAAGCAAATTAATTAAATTTAAGATAAATATTAAAAACCATTAACATGAATATATTCGATATTAAAATTATCGAATTCCTTTGATATGCTTAAATAATTCGCAATTTTTGTGAGGTTTAGAATTATAATTTCCTTTTTTCACATTGCGACAAATTTAGAAAATTATAAAATAAATATAATTTAGAAAACAAAATTTCTCAAGTGTTATATATATATATATATTATTCAAATTATAAGAAATTTACATAATTTTATCACATAGAATAATTTTACTTCTTAATTCAGAAAAAATTGATATAAATTTGAAAACATACTGTGCGCTAAGTGGTCTTCCAGTATCTTCGCTGGTGAATTCCCACGTGCGTTCTTCAGTGTCCAATCCGCAATAACTTATGTTATTTGTGGGATAATGTCGCCGGAAAAATAGCTTTCTTGCATTGTCAGTCAAAGTAATGCCCTGCGTGGAGACTTTAAAGTGAACAATTGTGGCGACCGGCAAAGGCTTTTGATCGAATAAATTGGTGATAGCTTTCTTGATAGCCTGTGGTCCGGTCAATGACTCCGTGTCAATTGTAAAGAGATATAAAACGTTGCAAGCTGTAAAAAAATAAATTAAAAATATTTAAAAAACAATTTCTTCTCTTTTTAGTAAATTAAAATTAGGGATTTATAAATTAAAAACTAAAACTTAAAATAACTAAAATATTGAATAATTAAATTTATTTTTTCTCTGCACGGTTAATCTGCTTTAAATATAAGATCAAATAAAATATCTCAAAATGTTATTATTATTTCAAGACCTTAATTTAACCGTGTCCTCTTTTTATCGTATCTCTCGTGTCACTCAAAACGCGTAAAATTGTAATAAATTAATTACCAGCTCCTTGAGCGAGAAGCTGCTGAGTGCTATTGGTACCAGGTGAGTCTAGCGCTCTGGCGGCCGCTTCCGGTTCAGGTAGCAGCAGTTGGCAAGGTAACGCCATGGCCATCAAACTGTGCTGGTAAACCAGTGCCGAGAGTGAGCTGAAGACAGGTTCGTTTGCGCATCCTTTTAGCCTGACGCCGCGCGACGTCGGCTCGATCAAGAAGTGCCTAACGAGCTCGCTCGAGGGATCTCGTGGGCTACTGGGCGCACCAGGAGGTGGCGTAGCCACTTTCAATGCCAGACCAAAGGCACCCGGGAACGAGTTGCTGTCTCGCACCACGAACGTGCCGGGTGTCGCGTCCTTCAGCATCGAGATTGCTAGAAAAAGTTTCACAATGTTATTAATTTCTCACACTATTCGAGTGTAATTTCTTAAGCCATTGCATAAGAGATTAGATATATGAGTATTTCATTAAATTAATAAATAAAGAGAAAAGCAAATTTCGAAATATTGTAAAGTAATAAATAAAGTTCAAATTATTGTTACTTGTATGTTTGCACGCGATTATAAATATATTTAAAATAATATTTCTTTTTCATCTATTACAATGATAAATAAAAAAGTCATTGATTCAACAAAAAAGAAGATAAAATAACATCGAATTTAAAAAATTACCTTGCTCCCGCGATATATTGGGTTTGTACCAGATTCTGCTAGTATCGCGTACGAATTTCACATTAACATCAGCTACCTCCTGGGGCTCGGTGTTCGAGTGAACGCTGGAGCGTCTCGAACTATAATATTGAACTTGCGGCGAAGATTGACCAGCACTGTTGATAGACGTGTATGACGTAGCACTCTGCAAAACAAGAGAGTTATTACAAGAATATATTTTCCCTATCAGTATACCAAAATATTATATCTAACATGAAACTTCCAGCATACCTAATTTACTTCCAAATTATTTTTCAACAAAAAAATTTAATCTTAAGAAAAAATCATTTTAAATTAAAAATTTAAATAAAATTTTACGGTTGAAGCTTACTAACGCATTGAGTATATATTCCCATTATTCTGTCATCGCGATGGGATTGAAACAGCGACGATAATATGAACGTAATGTAATATTGCCACGCTTACCTTGGGGCTTTGGGCGAATTCTACGTGGGTCGGTGTTCCAGGACTGCGCGAAATAGCCTGCGGCTGCGACATCGTTGATTCGCTTACAGGAGAAACAGGTCGGTCCTTACTGCAAAAGGAGCAACCGAGCGTAACGTTAGAAGAAATTCCGCGAAAATATACCGACATTTCCGTGCAGGCAGATATGTGTGTCGGTTGACTCGTGCACAGTGCTATACATCGTGAGGAAAATACCGGAAAAAGGGTGATGTACACATTGTGGAGAAGAGAATTTTGGAGGAGAGAGAAGTGCCTCTAAAGTTAAACGGGGCGAACGTCTCTAGCGAGAAGCGGGTAGAAGAGTAGGATGGATAGAAAAGAATTCCCCTCCCCCCCTCCCCCCGAGGAATTCTCAGAGGATGGAAATGTTACTTTGGTTCTTCAATAACAAAGTTTATTTCGTTGATATATAACGCACTTGCTCTGTGAGAAGTTTCTATATGACACACGATGCAGGGAAGCGCGAGTTCTTGTTAGTTCGAAGGTGCAACACACATATGGCCGGCATAGCCAGCGGGAGAGATTTATGCTCACGATACGATCAACTATATACTAAACTTCCCTATTACAACTCCGCAGACATAAAATAATAGTTTCCAAAACTAATCTGCAATAAATGCTTCCAATTCATAACAACGATAAAACACCAAAGATGCAAGTAAAACGATCACGAAATTACATGAAAATGTTATTCGGAAACATAAAGCAAAAAAAAAATCCAATGTAGAAGTGTTTTCGATTTAGGTACGTGATGTCGTGTGAAAAGTGATTCACTGTCTATGATATGATGTGGGATGCATTCCCCGGGCGTATTCAACGCGCGCGATTAGTAACATGACACAAAACATTCATAGTGCACATTTTGGGCGCGACGCTCACCGCGATCGCTGTGATTAATTCTAAAGCACCGTTAATTGCATATCCAATTACGATCACTCGCTCGCGCGATTTTTCGTGTATATTACCTATAGTCGAACGACGCCGATTGGTTAGTGAGCGGCCATCGTTTGTTATGCGTTTGTTTAAGCGGCCCGCTTGCCGGGAAACTCAAGCGTCTAAAATCACGAATATCATTTTTTCGTCATCATCACCGTCGCTTTGCGATCCTTCATCGTGTTTTCAAGGAAAATCTGTCATACGCATGGCTTGATAGAAAATATTTGTATTAAATTTATAAAATATCCAGTAGCGAGTATCCCAATTCTGACACTCGCGTTAAAATTTACCGTAAAAAATTTTAATATCAAAAAAATGAGAACGTTTACGTCATAAAGCAGAAAGTTTTTATTTCTCTACCTAATATTTTAATTAAAATTATCGCAGATAATAATATTCGTTAAATTTCTCTCCCTCCATTAATCTTCTAAATAAATTATTAAATTAAATATTTTTTATTAAATTTAAACTTTTAGCTGAAATCCTGAAGAGTTTTTAATTTTCAATTATATATGTTCAAAATGGAAATGTGTATTGAACGAAGAGTAAAATATTGAACTTACCGCTGTGTTGTCGGACTCTTGGGTGGAAGCCCCGTCTCCTTCGAGGCTTCCCTTCGTTCTTCGATATATATCGTTCGTTCGGCGCCGTAGTTTCCGACGTTATTGTTATTGTTTCCGCCAGCCTCGTTGTTGTTGTTGTTGCTGACATTGTAGCTGTTGTTGGACGTCACGTAGGTGCGATCACTGGCGAACGTCACCGTTGGTGATGCGTTATTGACGTACGGCGTCCGTGGATGAACCGGAAACGCCGGGGTCTGCGGTCGCGAGGCGCCGCTGACGACCGCGCTTCCGGGGCTGACGCTCCTCTCGGTCCACGATGACGCCAAGTCATTGTGCGGCTGTGTGGAATTCGAGACGATTATTGTAATTACGTAGCCGGCGACACTTGACGGGGCGTGACGAAGTGACGAGACACCGATTAGTGGCAAGCTACAAAACGCACATCGCCGTTTTTCTACGTCCATCTACGCGCTACCAGCCAAGCGAGGCGCAATGGACAAGCTCGGAATATCGAGACTAAAATGTCGAACTTCAATTAACGACTAGCGCAATCAGTAGCACGCATTAAAAAAAAAATTAAGGCATAGTGCATGTTATGAAATAATTACTGATTGCGTGGACGCGCGGTGGGACTTGCGTGTGAAGGGGAGACAAACCTGGGTGCAATTCTGCCATGCTTTTGGTGACTGATTAGGGGAGCAGTTAGTGACATTGTTGCTAGGCACACTGGCAGATATTGTAGCGGCTGCTATCGCGCTGCCGCCGACTGCAGGTTGCTCGTTCTCGGTTTTTGTCATGCTCGGGGACGCGCGAATCGGCGAGATCTCGGCTAGAGACTGAATGAGGCTCACGAGAGGGTCAGGCTGATCGACCACCGCTAATAATCCGCTGTCCACCTGGTCGTTGCTGCTGGTCGAGCTGTAACTCCCGACGCTCTGATAAGCAACGCGACTCCTCGACTCGGGTCGTGCGTTTCGACTAGACGTCGCGTATTCCTGAATCGCGATCGTCTGCTTCCGCTCGGGATGATCGTTGCTGACGCCACCGATGACACCGGATTGCAATTGATGATGGCGATGCTCGCGCAGCAATGCATCCGCGCGCGCGAAGCTATCGCTGCGCGACTCCGGCCGCGGCGGTTGGTGCTGATGCTGTTGCGATCTTTCGGCGTTGCTGCAGGAACTCGATTGTTGGCTCGCCGCGAACCCTAAGGGTGGCGCGGCCACTAAGGCTGAGCGGGGGGATGTCGGAGGGCTCTGGAATGCAAGCCAAGCGCTATGCTACATGCCGGCGAACTAAGAGCGTTTAATCCTTTCGGTGCTATGCTCCGAGTGCCCTCGATTACCCACGCTGGCGAGGCTTTAAGCCCAAATCAGGTTGTTAATTAATTGCGCGGGCTAATTAATGGCGCGAGTTAACGCGGTATAGTCGTAACGCAGCTGCCGCATCAGCTGGGAATTGTTCACGTCGAGCGATAACGATAAAAAGAGAGAGAGAGAGAAAGAGAATGATTTCGATAATTCTAGCTCGTAGCTATTTCGCAAACAGTTTTAATTAAAATTGCGAAAGCATAACAAGAAAAAACAAAATTACGTTAATTAAAATTAAAAATAAATTTTATTAAAAAATTAATTCGTAATTCATAGCCAATACTTTATTATAAAAATTCAGCTTATTTCTTCGCAAATGCATATCACGTATACAATTACGTTAAAAAAGAATATTTTTATAATAATGACATGTTAATAATGGAAGCAAAATATTTTAGTCGATAATATTTATTAATGTAACATTAATGTAATGAATGTTACATTAAGAAAATATAAACGTTTTGCTACTGAAATGTATTAAAACTTAAAACGAAATTATACAATACTGAAATAGTTAAGTTAGTAATGTGTCGAATACTTTTAGTGCGCAATTCTGGTTCCTTTTCTCGTAAATGCATCGAAAGTATAGCACGAAAAAGGATTAAGGGGGATTTTTATCTCGGACAGGTAATCGCCTTACGGTCTACGTTTTAGAGGGGTCGTTTCTTGCCATTTAGGGTCTAACTATACGGTATTTCTATAAGGTACAACGTTGTTGGAGGAGTTTCCCTAGCTTGTTATCTATGGAGCCTAAATTGTAGCGTTCGTGCTGCCGCCGTCTTATTGGCGTAAAGCGAGATCGACCGTACCACCGTTCCGAATTCCACGTGAATAAGTATTTATTTCGCCCAATGTTATCCGTCGGCCAATTCAACTCATCAATTAGTTTTGTAATAACCATAATTTCTCTAATATCCAAGGAATATTAATACTAAGTGCAAACTGAATGCAAAGTACTGCTAAAATAAAATCTTTATATATATATATATATGACATTTTTAATTTAAACTTCTGGTATGTTTTAATTTATTTAAATATAATCGCTTGTCCCTCGTAAAAAATATAATATTATAAAAATCTGTATAATTACTAATCATAATAAACAATTTGAATATTCGAAACGATGGCGTGATTCCAACAAACTTTAATGAGCAAAGAGTACGTGGGGAAACACGCCTAAATGGAGAATATCCCGTTTGACCACGTTGCGATTGATCACCGTTACCCACAGCGACCGGTGCACGAAATTTTTCCACTAGACCAACGAATCAGAAAATTTTATATTAAATTGGCCAATTATGGACGTGGGCAATCGGGTCTCCGCCTAAATGCACACACGTGTTGTACTCACCTGACTGTCGTTGTACTTGCGGTACTCGTAAGCACGCTTTACAGAAACGAACGGCCGTTCGTTCATACTCTCCGCTCGCGGTCTGCCGAGAACGCCGTTTCCGGTACTGCCATTATACTTCCGACTGCTCGATCTCTGCGGAAGTAGAGGACTAGCTGGTGCGGAGGTGTACAGAACAGCTCTCGACGACGGCTAATCGATAAATGGTAAATGTCAACAAAGTTATTCCTAGAATGCACGATTTGTCTTTCGCGTTAGTAAATATTGTCTGCTAAATCGCAGGCGAACTCGTTATATTAGTAAGTTGCGAGAAAGTTATAAATTGCATGTATTTGTACTGGGAAAGTTTTAGATACTACATAAATACGGAAGCTTAATAGTAAATAATTGTCCCAAACGAGATCATTAATCTTTCATTAAATATACGCTCTCCAATTTCTGCTATGTCATACTTGCATTCTAGGATTAACAATTTCACAAAAAAAAGTCTCTACATATCGTATTGAGTATTGCGAGAAAATAAAAATTTTGCTGTTTTTTCACTATGAAAAATTCAGGTAAAAACATTTAATTATTGATTAAGATCAAATAAAATTGTTTTCAACCGATATCAAGTCAAACAACCTTTGATGATTTCTTACCTGCCCAACGGAACTCGGTGCCCAGCCATCGTCATCGTCATCGAGGACCGCGGAATCGCTCGCGTAACCGTCGTATCTCAATCTTCCCCTCTGCAAGCTCCTGAGCTCGCCGATGACACGGTTTCCGGTCTCTTGTCGCCAAAGCTTGCCGGGGCTCCTTTCATCTCGTCTGGCGGCGAGTTTCAGTTGCTGCTGTCTCAGCCACGACAAACTAAATGATAACAAAAAGAAATGGAACTATCTTATCACGAATTCTTTGATGTCTTCCTGTCAAGCATGTTGTGCACAAAGACAAGAAACTAGAATTATTTTATTAAGTATGAAATATTTATGAAAAAGATAGAGAGCCCTTCGACAAATTGTCCTCATTGCGAGTTGTCAATCGTTCAGCGGTCGATTGATAGCGGTCGAGTTTTCCGGCGCAACATTTATTACTGCTTTGTGCAACGTGAGACAAAACATTTAATAAGTAACACGTTATAAATAACGCTGGATAATTGCGACGTTTCTCGCTTTCATGTCTCGCGCAATAGGGACTTATCGCGTTACACGGCGCTTAAATGAAAGAAGAAGTAGTACGAGAAGTTACGCTTTCGTAGAGGGAACACGAGACCGCGACTCCGATAACAAAGGCTCGGCAGAACATGCCGGGCTCCTTCGCGAATAGACTCGCGGAATTCTACTACGCCGGATTCTGGACCTCCTACCGCGATAGACGCCGATAATTACACCCTGATCGATGAGGTCGCCCCGGGCCATCGACTCGTGGCTCCGGAGAACGCGTTACATCCAGCCGTTCCTCGAGATAATAAACGACGGCCTCGGTAGCCAATCAGCGTAAGTCACGGAGGATTTCTTTTTTCCAATAACAAAATTTATGCCCGCCCGAACGCGCACAACCCCCAGAAGGGTTGTAAACTGCGCCTCGCGAGTGAACTTGTCGCTTGAAAAGATCATTAATTTAAACGGTCCATCGTTTTAGATCTCTGAATTTGCCAGTGGCGAACGATGTGGTAGAACTGAAGTTCTATTTATTCTTACGTGAAAAATAATTATTGCAACGTGTATATGTATATCCGCAGCAATTCATATATTTCTTTGCAATGATTTAAGATTTTGCCCATTAGCATCGGTATTATTACTAACAATTTTAATTTATGACATTACGTGCTTCAGTTTCAGTTTAGAATCGTATGTTTCAAGCCCAATAATTCGCAGTTTGCTTGTGAACTTGAGATTGTAAAAATTCACACAAATCTTATCAGGAATCCGTACCCCAAAAAAAGACGCTCTTCGCTTATTCATATTGTATATTTAGGTCAAAAGATTTCAATTTCGCTTCACAAAGGAGATTCCAGTGTTTTCAAGCTCTGAAGAATAATAAAATGTTTCTCCTTTGTGCGCCGAAAGGAAAATAATTTATCTCGTGATACATAAAATTGCATGTCTAAAAACGTGCAATAACTTCGCGTCTCGGATGACAAATGCAGAGAGCTACTTTAATAGCATCAAATATGAAAGCGCTTGGAATCGTGAGCTTGCGTCAACCTTGACCGATTCGTTGAATCTCTCGCGAGTATCCGCGTTTATTTTAAATGTATCATTGATTGAAATATTGGTTTGTGTTTCTTGGAAACCAAACTCGATACGTTGTATTATTAAAAGAGAAGAGAAACGGAATATTGCGCCTTTTCTATTATTCATAGCGAATGGCAAACAGCATTCTATCTCCGTTAGTTTGTTTATACAGCTTCGATGCGTTCCGCGGCAAATGTTTATTGTGTCTCGCTCAAAATTTAACAGCTTTTTTTTTAGATATAATTCGCTGAATGCTGATTCTGAATTTTAGAGTGTGAGAAATCATTATATATAAATTGTATATCGATCGAAGCTTATCTTGTTATCATTTGGTATTCTATGCGCGTAACCCAAATTGTTAATCCTAAATTGTTGATAGTGAATTGGTTACAGTGTACCATGTCGCCGCTTATCAATAGTAATTGTAACAGATGCCCGGCTTGCACGCAAATCAAGCGTGCCATAAAACGCAATTGCGTGTGCACGCTAGTCGAGATCTCATCTGCGCAGCGACACAATGCGTGTAAATTTGCCCCGTGGGTAAATTTTAAATTAAACCGAGCGCATCGCTATCAAGGAAATAAAAAAAAGCTCGTTAATTTACGAGGCCCGTGGGAGCAGTGGGTGTCTTTGGTTGTTAGAAAAAATTACGTGATATGGTTTATTATTGTGTTTATCTTTACGCTTAAATAGTTTATTTGATACAATTATTTATTTATTTTTATTAATAAACAATTAATTCAAAGGATTCCCAGAATTAAGCCACATTAGAAATATTTTAGGTTAGTGAGAATTGGCACGATAATTATTGTCCAGTATTTTTAAAAGACTTATTTCCCAAAGTTCTTTGATCACTTTCTTTTAAATTTACTCAAAATCCTGACGTGCTAGGCGAATTCTGCCAACGGCATTGTGTTCAACGCGAAAAAATCTTCGGAAAACATATGCGATCGCACTTCGGAGAGAATTTTGCTGTAACACAGTGTAATTAATATAACAAATAAGTATTTTCTACGTTGTCTTACTAATTACTACTTGCACCATTGTTGTAGCATTGTCTAGGACAGCAAGTTGTGAAGTTGCATTAAAAAAGTACATGAATATGCAAAAGTTAGGGTGAAGAACATTGTTAATGCGTTACGTCCGTCGGCGACATTTTTACGTGGGTAAAAAGGATTTCCGTGTGCAATAGAAAAGTTTGACCCACGGGACATGGAAGTCGCGTCTATCAAAAAAGGACGATGCAAGCTCGAGCTTGCGAAGAAAATTATACGTGCGGCTTTTGTGCTTGTACCTTGCCTCTTCCAATGACTTCCGTTTCCGAATGTCGTTTCTCTGCTGTTTCCGGACTTATGTCGGTAGAACAGATAAAAAGAGATGTTACAGCGTAATGTACTCGATAACGTAAAGAAGGGAAAAAACATCATTGCAGGATGAAAATAATAACCAATAAAAACGCAATAAATCATTATAAAAATGAAAATAAATTTAAATATAAATCATCTTTTCAATACCAACCATTCATATTTAATTAATTTGTATATTTAATTAATTTATTTAAAGAATTATGAAACGAGCAAATAATGTAATATTAATTATGATATAACATATCGACGAAGGGGTTATTTTATTTCCAAACGGAAAACATTTGTGATATCTCACTGTTAGCCAGCATCATCCCGATATATCAAATGTGGGTAAACTAAATGAAGACAAATGAGATGGGAAGGCAAAATGAGATGTTTTCATGGTTTTACAGGGCTAATTTAGCGCGTCTCTCTCGTCCGTTCTATATTTATAATTATGTCAGAGAACGTCCGCGGTATCCCGAAATATCGGTCCTTCGTGTCTTAAGCCCCATCATAATTTTTCCCTAACGATATAGTCGCGATGTCGCAATCCTGAGGACTCTAAAATGTGTTTATTAAGTAACGTCCTGTTTTATTTTAGCAAGAGTCATAACGGATAAAGGCAAGAATGTCTCCGATGTCATCACGCCTGGAATGTCACATTTCTTTCACTCGCGAGAAAGCGGACCTACCTACCGAACGCTCGTTGTCGAACTCTCGACCGTAAACCGTCGTCTGTTTCCTCCTCAAGTTGAAACGTCTCTTCGTAAATAACCGTACGAAATCTCGCGGTTACTCGCGCGCAACGCAAAATCGTTTCGTTCGCTCGGAGGGAAGTCGCGAGTTTATTTTCACGGCGTTCCGTGGCGCGCAATACGACGCGAATTTTACGGTACGAATATTTGGTTCGTTGAACCCGACGAGGTATCGTCAACACTCCATTTTTCGTACAGCTTTACCCTTTCCTTAGATGGATAATTAAAAATAACAGCAGAGGCGGAGAAGATTTTAAAACGCGAACTTTTCAGAAATTGAATACTTTGTATGAAGTTAAAATCCATGCAACATCGTTTTGTTAAAAATGTAAAAAAACAAAGATTTATACAACGGAAAATTAAATAATATTGACGTACAAATATTTCTAGAATAATTTTAAACTAACACTTTAATGTATACATATATATAAAATAAAATATATAATTTAAAATGTAAAAGCAATTTTTCCGGACATTTAAGAAATTGCAAAATTATTCGTATTCGAAGGGAAAAAATCGACATTGGCTTCTTAATTTAACGCTTTTTAATGATATCGCAATGAAAGAAATAAATGTGTGAAGCGGTACGTGTTATAATCGTGCCGAAGCGGACAGGGTTAACAGATTCATTTTATGTGATCGTACATGCTTTCTCCTCCATTCACGCGCGGGATCTCATTCGCAAAATGTGCGAGGCGGGACCGGACCGTGAAAGTCTCGGGTTTGTACGAAAAAAATTGATGACTTCGAGGTGAATGGCGTTATATAGTGACTGCACATTTATGGGATGCCTTTACATTTATGGCAGCGCGATGTAACGAACGAGTCTCTTTCGAAACATTATTATGCATACCTACTTAACTTCATTTCCTCTTATTTCACTGTCGATACATGTATATACACATGTATACAAAAAATATATCGTAAATTTAATAATCATTTGTAAATAAACTTTAAATTAAAGATAAATAAATTGTTGCAAATAAACAAATTTTTAATCGGTCTGGATAGATTTCTGCGCCATTCTATTTTTTTTAGTATAATTCTTGAACGCGGCGTAATCTGTTTTTGTGTTTATTTATTTTAAAATTCCTCTAGAATAAATATTTTATTTACAGAATTCTCAATTTGCTAAAAAAAATTGTAAACAAAATGTGATTTTATTTTAGCGAGTAAAACAGTTAATAAGCAATTAATTTATATAAAATGTTTACAAAGAATTATAAATAAAAAAATTTATTTTAGCGAGCGAAGCAATTAATAAGCAATTAATTAATATACATTTATTTCGGACGTTCACTCGCGTTCGGTTAAAATCAATTAACGTAGTACCTCTCTGAATAGCTTTATTGGCTACACTTCGTAATTCATATCTTGAGATCCTCATCATTCGCGAATCTATGCTATCGATCGCCGACGGGGATGGATACTTGCGGCGCTAAATCTCTCTATTCGCGTTACGAACAATGACTCATGTAACGACCGCGTTTACCATTCCCGGCAGAAGTACGGTATCGTAGCCGCGTATGGTTCGACAATTTATTAATTATCCACAGCCGACTCGGTGAATCTTTCTACTCTCCCTTTTTCTCTCCTGATCGTCTGATCGTTTTCTTAAGCGCGAGCGCGGTTCTTTTGCGGTACCCGATTCGGATGATACATTGCGACACCATACTGTCGACGATCGTCTGGAAACTCTGCCAGAGATACGGTCTATTCATCGCGATTTCCCTACCGAGACGTCTGTGGAAACCTAGTCTGATCTCCACTTTCGCAATGCTGTTTATCCGCCGCGAGGAGACCGTTTTCGGTCGTTGACAGCGCGAAGCCAATAAGTATCGTGTGTCGCGAGATGTGGAAAGAGTAAAATTTCTCTTGGAAACGCTTGAGAGAAAGAGAGTGGTAAAAGCGAGAGAAGCTAATGATATTTTTGTAAGCGAGAATAAAGCCGCGTGAGCGCGGCATAATTCCACATATAGTTAACAAAACGAAAATATCTCAATGCTCTCGCTACACACATTTTCATACGTTATTTTTCATACAGTTAATGATTTTTTTTAATGTTTACTATACAAAAAAAGGCTATTTTTATGTATAACGTGAGTAAATATCGAAAAGTCACTTACCCATCGATGTGATCAGATCCACTTTTCATGGGCCCGTTTGCGAATTCTGGCGGCGGATCCGGAGTATTGGGACTGAGTGGGCTCATGGGTCTTCTCGAATTCTCGCCAAGAATGTCCTCGAAATCCACGACGGGCGCCGCACCTCGCGCAGACGCCTTCCTCACTAGCGAAGGCGACGACAATTTCTGATGCTTTATCATGTCGGTGGTGGCGCCGTACGAGAACGGTTGGCTGGTCTGCCTGGCGTGATACGGGATGTCCTCGTCGATGAAATCGATGTTGCCAGGCGGCGAGAAGGAATCCGCGTGTTTCCTGTAGGAGTCGTTGGAGGATTCGGTTATCTTCCGATCCGGAGACATACGGTACTCGAAATCGCGATGCTCGATGCTCTTCGACGAATCTCTGTACTCGTTCTTCAGGGTGCTGTAGCTACTGCTTGAATTGTAGGGCGGACTCGATTCCTTGCCGGCCCCGTAACTCCTGTAGGAATCCTTCAGAGTCGAATACGTAGACGTTGGATGACTGCTGCCGTGACTGCTGTAGCTGCGTGATTCTTGAATGTACATCTTCTCACTACGATCGCGATTGTAGTCGTCTGTCGGAGGATCTGGCATAGACTGTAAAGAAATTTCATAAAATGTGAAAAACGGATATTTTTCGATTAATTTTTTTTTTAATCTTTCCGCACACCAATCTCGCTGTATAATTATATCTATACGTTATGCGTAATTGGTAAACTCTGTTACCTCGACAGTAAGCATCATATCATGGAGAAGCTTGTCGAGGTCTCCGTGGGCTTGACTTTCCGGCTCGGGTTCTGGCGGGCTCGGTCTCTGTGGCGGTGCACTACTTATGCCACTGTCCATAGAAACCGTCAATGGCGAGCCGCGAGCACCTCCTGCAGCGCTTTGATGCACCACGGCGTACAAGGATCCATCTATAGGGCCGCAGGTATAACCCAAGCCACGAGGTGAAGTCTGAACCGAAGAGCTTGAAGGAGGTGGTGGTGACAGTGGCGTCTCACGGCCTTCTAGAGAAAAGCACACAAGCGTCCAAATATAGCAAAATAATAATGGCAATTTAAAAGAAGATATTTCGGCATACATTTCAAATTTTACTGATATATATACTTCGTATATTTTAATTCCACTACCAGTTCTATTTTTTTAATAGTATATATTATTTTAATTACATTATTAGAGCGAAATTAACGATTTATTTGGACAGAATTAATAATTTATTTTTTTAAATTTATTAATTCATTATTAAATAAAAAATTTTCAATTTGAATGATAATGAGATCATTCACAAAACTACCAAGTTGAGCCGCAAATCAATTCTTTCGGATTCTTCTTGTGTTGGAATATCTACGGGCGCCCGCGTGAACTATAATTCCGCGAGTGCGAAATCGAGGAGCTTGTTAGAGGAACAACCGCCAGCCATAAATTGTTGACTAACGCTACTCTTGAGTACGAATTGCAACGAGGGAGTTAAGAATCGTTCATTACACACATTCCTCTCTCTACTAACGCATCACGTCATTTAAAGCTAATTGCTCGATCAGTTTCCAAGATATAAAGAGTATTAATTGAAGTGAAAGTGAAGTGAAAGAATTTTATAGCTTAATTATTTACATCGCAAAAAAATGATAATAAATTGGATACAAATTCGTCTTCATTACTTTCTTCTAAGACAGTTAGAAATTTATTTTAGGAACATGAAATTTGAAACATAAAATACATTAACAAGAAACATATGTTAACATTCATCGATGTGATCCTAGTATTAATATTAATGTTTTTGCAATATATTTTTGATAAAGGCCATTACAGTCGAATTATCGTAGACATTTCCGTAACGAGTTCTTTTACGAAGTCGATGTCGCAATCTAAGCGACAATAGCCGACAAAATGTTTGTTACAACTATAATTCTCGGAAACCCATTGCACCGTTGTAGTTGCCAAGTTTGCGACAAGAGTTTCTGGAAGTCTACGACCAGCCATGATTATTTGATCCCCGTCGGCGTCTTGGCCGCTTTCTTGGGGCGCAACCTCGACGGCGTCTTTTTTCCCCGGTGACCTCGTGACACAGGGCTAACCTACCGCAAGGATTACGTCATCTAAAGCGCGCGAATTACTCAACCATGACATAATACGGATCAGTGATAAATTAATGCATTACTCGAGCATACAGAGGAAGAATGGGAGGATATTTCATGTCATAATAATTACTGAAAATTATTAAGGTAACTTTTTCTAGTTATAAGTATATTCTGCAACAGACTTTATGATTTCATTTCAGAGTTCATTTTATTTTATAAACAAAGTTGTGAAAAATTGAGTAAAGATACAGAATAATGAATTAGACATCTTGATAATTGAGCAATTATAGAAAGGTAGAAATAAATAATAAAAGTAAAAGACAAAATCTAGAAGTAGTCCTTAGATTTTTAAACATTCTCTTTAAAAGTTCTTCTACATGTTGATAAAATCTCATCAGCTAGCTATTAATAGCGTGAAAGCTTCTGGGAATAGAATTTACACAGGCTAAAAAGAAATATAGGAAGAAAGCAAGAGAATGATGGTAAGAAGTTTATTTAGCTCTCTGGCAAACTTGGGTAACAATGTTGAGGATAAAAAAGCGCGAACCCAGCTGTAGATACTATAGTAACAAAATCGAGAACACGCCGGAGAACCAGGGTCGAACTTTCTGCGAACGATAAAACTTTATCTGAATCTACTCGTAGAGAATGGAAGTGCGATGGGAAAATGAAAGTTTAGATACGCGACATTATGAAGTTTTCCAAGTGTTAAACATTCAATTATTACGAGATAATTCATGTTAATTTCGAAGATAACGATAACAGCAACACGACAAAGCTAAAAAGCGCATCTTTCTCTCTCTTTCTCCTACAAATAATTATTTCTATCATATCTATATTTTGTATCTACGTATAAAGCGAGGTAAAAACGGAAATCGTTTTCAAGAAGAACAAGCAAAGATTCACTGCGGACAAGTGAAGGATTAATAACACGATAAGAGTGGTGCGTAGTGCCGACAAGAACAGCACGTTCCCAAGAGAACCGTGTGTTCGATGCGGCCCCAACCAAGGCCCCAGCTGATGTTTCCTACGGCGCCGTTCGGCGCGCTCCTTTTCGCGTTTGGTTTGCACAGCCGAGACCTCCGCTACTTTGTATCACGCACCGACAATCGCTACGTCATGTCGAAGAGATTATACGCAACGCGAAAAAGAATTTGCGAGAAACGCGCAGTTGAAACACGTGGCGACAACCTCGAAAACCGGGGTATGGTTGGTTACAAGGAGGGGCACTTAATGGGCATCTCTCCATCGAGATGCGTATCCAGTAGCGCCGCGTGCGTGCACGCAGAATTTCACGGCGGTTTATTTTTCGCCCTGTGCGTCTGGGTCGTCCGTCTTTTTTTTCCCTCCCCTCTTTATCTCCCTCTCTCGAATCGTCCGCTTTGATCCGACATTCCGTGCGCCGCGGGACGCAAGTGTGGCCAATGCACTTGGCGCCTTAGGCCCCTGTCACGCTCTACGTCTTTCTCCGATGACAGCGTGCACTACGCTAACGCAATCGTGCCGATTATCGCCGCTGGTTTATCAGCTTAATTGGAATTCCCGGGGTGTAATTATTTGCCGGGCGATATCGCGTATACGTGCACGATTGGGCGCTGGATCATAAACGTAATTCGACCGCCGGAATGTATACGTTCTTTCACCCCGCCGGCTGAAACGACCGCTCTTTGACGTTTGCGAAACATATACGTCATGTTATTTGTAAACTGTGCGCGTACCCTGTATTTTATAAGACACAAATTAATACCTCTCGTGTTTGTATCTTTTTTTTCCACTCGAGGACTAGGAGATGAAGACACCAACGTCGCAGAATGTGTTATCGAATTATCATCCGTGATAATTAAACTTGAGATAGTTAGAGACTTAATTAACTAAACCGCTTCACGGTTTTAATAACTCAAACATTTCGTTATATTTTGCGCTACAACTTTTCTCTGCTTCCTTGATAAAGCTATATATTTCGGTCATTACTAATGCCGCTTAAAAAGGACAAAAACTCTACCGCATGTTCCTGATAACCCGAAAAAACGACCGTAACAAATCACGAATCGCTATTAATGGTTTTTTTTTTTTATAAACAAGTTTACTACAACGATGATACGATCGAGATCGGTGATCGGGCTAATTTAGGATCATCACGAGGGAGATTCCACGAAGGACACCGGGTATAATTTCTTAGGGCCGTATGGGAAGCCTCATCTGAATTCAATCCACGTCGTCGCTATCTCGTTGACACATCGCGGCGGGTATAAATCATTTTTATTTAAGCGACACTCGCTTATTATACTTGAATCGGCCCGCGCGCTCTGTCAATGGCGCGACTAATCTATCACCTCGGGCAGATGAAATACATTTAATGCGTACTTGCGACATACAAGCAGAACCGCATTTAAAAATAGTGGAATCTCTAAAATAAAGTTTAAAAGACCTTATGCTGCTTTTAAAACAATTAGATTTTTTTTTTATTTTAAAACATATAATAAAATGTATAGAATAACCATGATAAGTACACGGAGAGAATCTCCTTTTATTAAAATTTATCCCGAGAACCATGTTAATCGTGGGACAACATAGTATTTCGACAAATTTTACTGTGTACTGCAACAAATTTGTTGTAGCATGTATTAAAAAAATTGTGAAAATCACATAAAATTCGTCGAAATATTATGTTGTCCTACGATCAACATGATTTTCAAGGTAAATTTTAAAATAAAATTCTCTCCGTGTAGAATACATACACTGATGCAAAATCAGAGAAGAATTGTGCATAATAATATATAATAATTATATATAAATAAAATTACATAAATAAAATATTGTATAATAAGCAATACTGTTGTACAATATGCAATGCTAATCGAATTCTGGTAATCATAAAAGACGGCTACGTAATTTGAAGGCCGTTCAAAATTGGCCTTATAATTAATAACGGCGTTGCATGAGCGAGCAGAATCCATTTTCGCGTGTACACACGTTTAAGAACGAGGATTCTCTGTCGTTGCCTGCCGAACGAAGATTATTGCCGTCGCAACACCAGCCTCTTTCAGAGGCACGATAATGAAACTCGAATATGGGATATAACACGACCGTCGACGATGTTGTATATGAGGATTTAATGGTGCTGATGAAGAGACGATGAAAGCGTGAAATGTGGCAGCGTACAATCGATAACGTGTTTTTACGTTAATAACGCTAAAGAGAGAATTCGTGATGTTTTGCGATTATTGTAAATAAAAACTCAGTGTTTACAACGAGGCCTATAATTTTTCTTAAATGGTCTTAAATTCGAGATGGCGTCGTGCGTCAACGCGTTATAATACCACCTACTTCGAGACCACCGCGGGACTTCTCCGAAGAACGGACACGGCCGGAAGGCACGGCCGATGATTTTTGGCTGATTTAATGAAGCAAGTTTTCTCATCGACGCCACGTGAAAGTAAGCGGCCCAAGAGGAGAGGAAAGGAGAGGAGAGGAGCGCAACGCTGCGTCGCCGAATTGCGTGCTCCGGAGCATTTACCGGACGCCCGTCTGCGGTTCGAGATTGACGCATCGTTTGGATAAAAGTGAGACGAGTAGCCATTAACGGGTCGATCCTATTAAATTATCGGAGGCATCTCTCGGTAATCCAGACATGCGATGATCGACATAAGTATGATTAAATTGCCGTTGAAGCGGCGCGCGAGCGTACTAAAAATAGCGAGACGACAGGAATGCTAATAGCGCGATATTCCTGTGTACGCATAAAGTGCACGACAGCCGTAACAGTGCGGTTACGCGCGCCGTAACGTAAAGAGGGGGCCATTAACTATATCCTTAAAGATATATTAATTAACCTGAAGGCTTCCTGTTCGCGGGCAGACGAGTGGGCTCTAAACCGCAAGCGACGCCGTATCTCGAAAACGCGAGCGGTTTTCTCGTTTATCACACCC